CAGGACCCTGGGATCATGACCCGAGCCGAAGGCAGCCGCTTAACGACTGAGCCACCCAGGCGCCCCTGGATCCAGGTGTTTTGACAGCGGCGGCGGGAGCTGGGTCGGTGCCCTCCCCGGCTGAATTTTAGGCAGCTGTTTTCTTTCACTGAAAGAATTTGGGACTGGAGGTCGTTCCTGTTCCTCGCCAGAGGGTCGCTGGTTCAATCCCAGTAACGATCAGAGTAGTATTTTCTGAGGACTGTTCGTGCAAACCTTGCAGGTTATCCGCCAGTCAGCGCTCACGGGGTTGGGGAAGGTTGCAAAAGGAAAAGAGGGAGGGGGGCCTAAGAGGGAAACTGGGACCCCTCCACCCGATTGTGTCCTTTTCCAGCGCAGAGAAGTCTTCCTTTCGCGGGCAAGTGGTTCTCGCTTCCTGGCGCCCCCAAGGAGCAGAAGTGGCTGGGGAGAAAGTTATGCGGGCCCCTGGGTGCAGGGGGTGGGGGGTGGGGGTCCCGGGATTCCCTTCCTGCTGGCTCCTCCTCCCCCCGCCCCCACCCAATCCCTTAAACCATCCATTTTGAGGGGGTCCGGAAGCAGATACAAAGGGCCCGGGCAAGACGAGTCTCTGTCGTCTATCCTTCCTGGGGGGTCGTTGTTTTGTTTCTTTACTTACTATTTTTACAGTCCCATCCCTCTCGTCCGCAGCTCTGCAACCCTCTATCTAGTACAGGGAAACGAGCCCTTTGGGCTGCGCCACCCACAGACGCGTCCAGAAGCAGGTGCTGCGGAGATGGTGAGTGTCCCGGGTTGTCGCAGAGTCCACACTGCGGGCGGGACCGGGTCGGGTTCCAGGGAGTCGGGAGCAGCTGTCCGTCCGCGGAAGCCTGATTCCGCCCTGGAGGGGTGGGGAGGCCGAGAGTGGCCCACGTGGTGAGCCCTAAATGCGCCCTTCACCCTGCCCCAGGGAGCATTCCCTGGCCTGGGCCGGGGGACACCCGCGTGCGGCGGCGGGGCTGGAGGGGCTGCTGTTTGGATCCATGCTCGTATTGGAGTCCGTTGTGATTAGGGCGAGCTGAAAAATTCTGGGCCCAGTCAGATCGAGAGGATGGCCTTTGGGGTTCTCTTCTGGAGAAAGGGTTGCTGGGTTTGAGTTGCGTCCGATGGGCACATTCTTCCTTTTTTTTGGGAACTGAGATCTCGGTAGAGGGCATTTATAAAAGGCCAAGTTGAAAGGAGTTCCAGGGGAGTTGTCAGGATCAAACCCCGTGGTCTGAGCAAAGTAGCCTGTTTGTCGTTCATCGACTCCAGGAAGGTCTGGCTCAGGGGAAACTCAAGACACCAGTGGGATGTGTCATCTGCCAGATGTGCGTGCTTTCCTTCTACCTGCTTACCTGAGCCCACCCAGAATGATGCATTCTCTTTTTTTTTTTTTTTTTTTGCTTTCCCCGCTGTCCCAAACTAATGTGTCTGAGATCACCAGGGGCTCCCCGGGAGCCCCAGTTGTATTGGCTTGTTGCAAGGAGAGACGTGGATCCCACCAGAGAGGAACCTTGCAAATGAAGGGATGGAGTCATTCCTTATAGGATCATGGGAGGTGGGGGAGGGAGAGGGTGAATTCAGGGTAAATGTAAATGCATCCCAGCTTAGATTGGCTCAAGCCGAACTGCATGCAAAGGAATTATCTGGTCCGGATGGTCCCTTGGAAACTACAAGGTCAGATAGAGGTGGAATGTGGTGTCCCAAACCCCTTATCTGAAGCTCTGCCCGGAGTTGCAAATTGAGGCTGCCTCTCAGTCCATGTGACTCAAGATCCCCCAGGCAAGAGTGGGATGTTCTTTTCCTACCAATACGATGTCACAGCCGCATTGTTGAGGGCTATGATTTTTAGGGAACAAAGTTTATCAGTGAGTTAGAAAACAGTTAAGTAAGGCGGGGGGAGGAAAGGAGTCCTTTTGACTTTGCTGCTGGTTTCCTCGGGGTCTGATCTCTTTACGTGATGGCAGGGCAGGTTTTCATCCTTGCGTTCACGATGACAGGGTTGCCTATAATCTCCAGTTTGCCCCAGCACTTAAAAACTTCATCACATTGAGTGTCACATTTGTTTGTTTGATGAAAACCTAAGTTCACATGAACCCCGGAGTAGTGAATGCAAGGGGATCTTGGGGACACCACATAAATGTTTGAAATTTTTGAAACCGAAGTAGTATGGATGCCTATTTCTTAAGAAACGGAGTCCGTATATATATTTTTAAAGATTTTATTTCTTTATTTGTGAGAGAGATTGAGAGAGTGAGCGAGGACAAGCAGGGGGAGTGGCAGGCAGAGGGAGAAGCAGGCTCCGGTCCTGGGATCAGGAGCTGAGCCCAAGGCAGACGCTTAACCGACTGAGCCCCCAGGCATCCCAGAATCAGTATATTTAAGAAGATGTGGGTATTCCAGTTCCAACTGGAAGAACACTCTAACATCTGGCACGTTGTTTGCACCCCTAGAGAATTTTGAAATGTGAAAGCCATTAATTAAATCTCTCCAGTAGAAGGAATTCTTACTTTAGCTGGAAAAGATGACTTCAAGGTAAAAAAAAAAAAAAAAAAAAGGCAACCTCATCAGTTGTGTTGTAAATTATTTAATTGTAGACTGTATTTCGCTTAATAACATATTTCTGGACTATGCAACAGATCAGTGTGTTTAAAAAATTGCAGGTTGGTTAGAGTAGACCTTGAAGGCTTCCTCCATCTGCCCTGGTTTGCTCTGTTCGAGACTCCTGGCCACCCAGAAGCAACCACTTTTGTAGATCCTTGCATATCTTTTCAGGATTCCTTATTTTTCCTTCAATTCATGAAAATGAGCTCTTTGTGCACTCTTCGGCAGCTAACGTTACAGATTTAAAAAGACGCAAGTGACCAAACGCAGTATTCGGGTCTTCGGGGACAGACAGAGGGTATTTGATTCTATAAAAACGTTGCTGCTGGAGCGCCTGGGTGGCTCAGTCGTTAAGCGCCTGCCTTCAGCTCAGGTCATGATCTCAGGGTCCTGGGTTCGAGCCCCGCATCGGGCTCCCTGCTCTGCGGGAGCCTGCTTCTCCCTCTCCCACTCCCCCTGCTTGTGTTCCCTCTCTAGCTGTGTCTCTCTCTGTCAAATAAATAAATAAAATCTTTAAAAAAAAAAAAAGTTACTGCTAGTGTTTCTCAGTGTGATAATGTTGTGGACACATTTTAAAAGATTCCTCGCACTTTAGAGATACGTAATGAACATATTTAAGGATGCAATGCTATGATGGCTGGAGTTGTGTTGACATTAGTGCAACAGGAGGAGGGCAGTGAAGGGGGATGGGAAGAGGGGCAATGTGTGGAAACAGGTGGGTGGTGGGTGAAGGCTTGCTTGCATTTCATTTTCCCTGTATTATGCATGTTCACACTTTCCATGATTCAACGCAAATGGTTAGAAAGTTCTTTTGTACTGCTAAGCTTTTCTTTTCTCTATTTAAAGATTTTAAGTAATCTCTACACCCAAGGTGGGGCTCAAACCCACAACCCAGAGGTCAAGAGTCGCATGCTCCACTGGACCGAGCCACCCAGGCGCCCTGAAGCTATATTTAATATATAAAAACACATAACAATCCTTGATATCACCTGACTTTGTTTATATGTCTATTTACTATATATATATTTTTAGTTTCTATGCCAAGATGTTTCAAATTCTGGAAAAAAAATTTTCAAAATACAAAATGTAAAAAACATCATTTAAAACAAACATCTAAATATTAAAAGTCACTAGAAATCAGGGCTTCCAGGATACCAGATACGGTGCTTTACAAAAAAGCAAAAGAGAAAATAACTCACAATATCTCTAACACCTGTCCAGAGTTTGAATTCCAGCAGTTTCTACCAAAAATATCTTTCAGGGTTAGATCTCTTTTTTTTTAAATAAAGATTTTATTTATTTATTTTAGAGAAAGAGCATGAACGGGGGAGGGGACAGAGGAAGAGGAAGGGGGAGAGAACCTCAAGCTGACTCCAGGCTCAGCTTGGCGCCCAACGCAGGGCTCAGACTCAAGACCCTGAGATCATGACCTGAGCCGAAATCAAGAGTTGGGTGCTCAGCAGAGCCACCCAGGCGCTCCTCTTTTTTATTTTTTACGCTTTATTTATTTAAGTCATCTCTACAACCAACATGGGGCTTGAACTCACCACCCCAAGATCTAGAATCGCACGTTCCCTCGTGTGGCCGAAAGAGACACTGAAGGTGTGATTAGATTCCCGTGGACATTTTTGCACACTTCTCAGGTGGTGGGTCTCTCTCCTAAACATCACCTCTGTGTGAATAGAGTGCCTGCATGCCCTCTTGTGGCCGAGGCTGAAATCCATCAGAGGCTTCAGGTGCCAAGAGAGCTTTGTTCCCACTTCCCAAAGTAGTGGGCAGGTAATGAGCAAAATGAGGCATTCATTGCTTCCAAGTTTTTAGCTGGAACTCTGTAGGGTTTTCCGTCATCAAGAAGGACTATTCAGGGCGCCTGGGTGGCTCAGTTGGTTAAGCGACTGCCTTCGGCTCAGGTCATGATCCTGGAGTCCCGGGATCGAGTCCCGCATCGGGCTCCCTG